TGCCCCAAGCATGCACAAGAAGAGACAGCATGACAAGCTCACATGCAGATTTTGTCCCGAGTCGACGCCGAACGTCACGCCGAAGGTGAGGTTCAAAACCTTTGGCCTCATAAAGGCGTTTGAGAGCGTCGAGCCCGTGCTGCTGCTGAACCGCCGGTTGTGCACCGCGTATGATGAGCCACGAGCGAGAAGACCAAGAAGAATAAGTAAACATCTGATCATTGGCACTCCGAATTCCTTTGATTTGGGAGGGATGATCAGGTAGCTGTGGTGTAATAGTCCTGGAGGAAGAATCACATCGATAACCCAGCACTTTGTCATCATGTTGAACCTCAAGCATCACTGGTGGGCGATAAAATTCCAGGGAAAGAAAATTCATGAGCACGGGCGAGTGTGGGGCTGAATCTCGAAGGAGAATGAAACGATTGTCGACGTAGCGCTCATGCCAGATCACACCAATGTCGGGCATGCAAAACCGCAGAGAACTCATTGTTTGGTGCCAGAAGAAATCCTCAACCGTAGCAACCAAATTGCACAACGGTGGGGCGGCTGGTGATCCCATAGCGACTCCTCGTTCTTGGCGGAACAAGTATCCGTTGATCTCGAAGTGACTGTTGTCAATGACAAAGTCCAGAAGGTGCCGGAGATCTTGTTCACGAAGAATCCTAGGAATCTTGGTTTGACGGCGCCACTTTCCTTTGAACATACGGCGTCGATGATCTGACTTTACTTCGTACACTGACCATTGAGAGGAACTGCGAAGGCCAACAACTTGATCGTATCGATGAAGAAGCACTTGCAGCGCCGTTGACCAAAATATCCACCACTGAGCCAGCTACATGCAAACAAAGCACAATGCATCAACAACTGTCCCAAGCATGCACAAGAAGAGACAGCATGACAAGCTCACATGCAGATTTTGTCCCGAGTCGACGCCGAACGTCACGCAGAAGGTGAGGTTCAAAACCTTTGGCCTCATAAAGGCGTTTGAGAGCGTCGAGTCCATGCTGCTGCTGAACCGCCGGTTGTGCACCGCGTATGATGAGCCACGAGCGAGAAGACCAAGAAGAATAAGTAAACATCTGATCATTGGCACTCCGAATTCCTTTGATTTGGGAGGGATGATCAGGTAGCTGTGGTGGAATAGTCCGGGAGGAAGAGTCACATCGATAACCCAGCACTTTGTCATCATGTTGAACCTCGAGCATCACTGGTGGGCGATAAAATTCCAGGGAAAGAAAATTCATGAGCACGGGCGAGTGTGGGGCTGAATCTCGAAGGAGAATGAAACGATTGTCGACGTAGCGCTCATGCCAGATCACACCAATGTCGAGCATGCAAAACCGCAGAGAACTTGTTGTTTGGCGCCAGAAGAAATCCTCAACCGTAGCAACCAAATTGCACAACGGTGGGGCGGCTGGTGATCCCATAGCGACTCCTCGTTCTTGGCGGAACAAGTATCCGTTGATCTCGAAGTGACTGTTGTCAATGCCCAAATCTCTATCGTTGACCAAAATATCCACCACTGAGCCAGCTACATGCAAACAAAGCACAATGCATCAACAACTGTCCCAAGCATGCACAAGAAGAGACAGCATGACAAGCTCACATGCAGATTTTGTCCCGAGTCGACGCCGAACGTCACGCAGAAGGTGAGGTTCAAAACCTTTGGCCTCATAAAGGCGTTTGAGAGCGTCGAGCCCATGCTGCTGCTGAACCGCCGGTTGTGCACCGCGTATGATGAGCCACGAGCGAGAAGACCAAGAAGAATAAGTAAACATCTGATCATTGGCACTCCGAATTCCTTTGATTTGGGAGGGATGATCAGGTAGCTGTGGTGTAATAGTCCGGGAGGAAGAGTCACATCGATAACCCAGCACTTTGTCATCATGTTGAACCTCGAGCATCACTGGTGGGCGATAAAATTCCAGGGAAAGAAAATTCATGAGCACGGGCGAGTGTGGGGCTGAATCTCGAAGGAGAATGAAACGATTGTCGACGTAGCGCTCATGCCAGATCACACCAATGTCGGGCATGCAAAACCGCAGAGAACTCATTGTTTGGTGCCAGAAGAAATCCTCAACCGTAGCAACCAAATTGCACAACGGTGGGGCGGCTGGTGATCCCATAGCGACTCCTCGTTCTTGGCGGAACAAGTATCCGTTGATCTCGAAGTGACTGTTGTCAATGACAAAGTCCAGAAGGTGCCGGAGATCTTGTTCACGAAAAATCCTAGGAATCTTGGTTTGACGGCGCCACTTTCCTTTGAACATACGGCGTCGATGATCTGACTTTACTTCGTACACTGACCATTGAGAGGAACTGCGAAGGCCAACAACTTGATCGTATCGATGAAGAAGCACTTGCAGCGCCGTTGACCAAAATATCCACCACTGAGCCAGCTACATGCAAACAAAGCACAATGCATCAACAACTGTCCCAAGCATGTACAAGAAGAGACAGCATGACAAGCTCACATGCAGATTTTGTCCCGAGTCGACGCCGAACGTCACGCAGAAGGTGAGGTTCAAAACCTTTGGCCTCATAAAGGCGTTTGAGAGCGTCGAGCCCATGCTGCTGCTGAACCGCCGGTTGTGCACCGCGTATGATGAGCCACGAGCGAGAAGACCAAGAAGAATAAGTAAACATCTGATCATTGGCACTCCGAATTCCTTTGATTTGGGAGGGATGATCAGGTAGCTGTGGTGTAATAGTTCTGGAAGAAGAATCACATCGATAACCCAGCACTTTGTCATCATGTTGAACCTCAAGCATCACTGGTGGGCGATAAAATTCCAGGGAAAGAAAGTTCATGAGCACGGGTGAGTGTGGGGCTGAGTCTCGAAGGAGAATGAAACGATTGTCGACGTAGCGCTCATGCCAAATCACACCAATGTCGGGCATGCAAAACCGCAGAGAAATCATGGTTTGGTGCCAGAAGAAATCCTCAACCGTAGCAACCAAATTGCACAACGGTGGCGCGGCTGGTGATCCCATAGCGACTCCTCGTTCTTGGCGGAACAAGTATCCGTTGATCTCGAAGTGACTGTTGTCAATGACAAAGTCCAGAAGGTGCCGGAGATCTTGTTCACGAAAAATCCTAGGAATCTTGGTTTGACGGCGCCACTTTCCTTTGAACATACGGCGTCGATGATCTGACTTTACTTCGTACACTGACCATTGAGAGGAACTGCGAAGGCCAACAACTTGATCGTATCGATGAAGAAGCACTTGCAGCGCCGTTGACCAAAATATCCACCACTGAGCCAGCTACATGCAAACAAAGCACAATGCATCAACAACTGTCCAAAGCATGCACAAGAAGAGACAGCATGACAAGCTCACATGCAGATTTTGTCCCGAGTCGACGCCGAACGTCACGCAGAAGGTGAGGTTCAAAACCTTTGGCCTCATAAAGGCGTTTGAGAGCGTCGAGCCCATGCTGCTGCTGAACCGCCGGTTGTGCACCGCGTATGATGAGCCACGAGCGAGAAGACCAAGAAGAATAAGTAAACATCTGATCATTGGCACTCCGAATTCCTTTGATTTGGGAGGGATGATCAGGTAGCTGTGGTGTAATAGTCCGGGAGGAAGAGTCACATCGATAACCCAGCACTTTGTCATCATGTTGAACCTCGAGCATCACTGGTGGGCGATAAAATTCCAGGGAAAGAAAATTCATGAGCACGGGCGAGTGTGGGGCTGAATCTCGAAGGAGAATGAAACGATTGTCGACGTAGCGCTCATGCCAGATCACACCAATGTCGGACATGCAAAACCGCAGAGAACTCATTGTTTGGTGCCAGAAGAAATCCTCAACCGTAGCAACCAAATTGCACAACGGTGGGGCGGCTGGTGATCCCATAGCGACTCCTCGTTCTTGGCGGAACAGGTATCCGTTGATCTCGAAGTGACATGGCGACGCAACTGACTCTGAATTTGCGCACTTCCTCCTTGAGAGAATCGGACCCGACAACATTCAAATCAATGCAAATGCAAGATAGCGGCCCTCAACTGCAATGGTCAATCGACATGCACAAGGCAAAGCAAATACCAGTCAGCAATCATCAACCGCACTGATACGAGCAACGAGATCCACCAATGGTCAAGAAATGCAATGAAAATCGGCAGCAGTCCGTTGTGGTGAGACGTCGCTATGATCTGACGGCTTTCTTCCCTTTAGTGAAACCTCGTTCCTGATTAAATGTGAAATTCCGCTGTTCTATGATAAGCACGTTGAGGTCAAATTTTCCGACAGAGCCGGCCCGGGGTCACACAATGGGTACACCCGAGGATTCCCCACGAATGGGGTGTACACACTTAAACTCCAGATGGAGAGTGCTAATCTTTCGAGTACAACTGATGAGTCTCGAGTACAACTGATGAGTCTCGAGTACGATGAGTATCTGCTTGATTTCCGCGGGCAAAGAGGGGACCTTGTTGGGAAGCAGGTACGTAGCTGAGCGTCCTCAGCTACTTCCCTTCCAGTGACCTAGCTTCGTTGGATCAGGTCAGTCACTGGAAGCCTGATCCCCCTGCTGCGAAACCGAAAGGGTGGTGACAGGGCATTCTGTCACTCCGCACACACACACACACACACACACACACACATACACACACCAAAAAAATAGAAACACACAGTGGAACACTACTGATAGTCACACAAAGACGCGCGTGCGCATACACACACACATGCATACAACTCATGACAACACTGAACACATGACGCTTCACACATAGTACGTCGCACGAAACACAGTATACCTCACACTCTAGCAACGGAACACAACACAGCACAACACAATGACACCGCACGACAAACACGTTACCACTCGACATGACACGACACGACACACGCACAACACAAACATGGTTGCTTGGTGACGAAACACTGAACCTTGCTACCCCTTGGCAAGAATCACTTTCAACTGCAAAACAAGTCATGATATCTCGTTGTTTTTGTTGGCATGTCCCCAGCCCAAAGCGCTGTGCCCAGCTGCCGGGGCATGATGAGGACTTCTTCGGTGGTCCGGGCCTCGCGCATCAGTTTAGCCATTTGTTGGGGGACTCGACTGGTCGGAAAGGAATGGCTTTCAGACAGGGTGAGCAATATCCCGTGATCATTCTTTAGCACACAAACTCTTGAATTCTTGGAAGTTATGTGAGGTGGACCCTTGCGACAAATTTCACAGCACAGTTTGGGCCTTGGGACTTGATAACAGGGTCGACCAAGGTGCAACTATGTCCGAGACCTTGCAGTCTCTCGCAAGAAAACATATTGAGTTGCTCCATGTTATGAGATCATTCTGGTGAGAAACACAACCAATGCCTGCGACCCGGCCTTATTTGAACTCAAAGGCAGCATACTGCTCTAGGAAATGGGGAGGTTGTTCACCCACACGTTTTGAGAACGCTTCCTTTCCGAGGTCTAAACAGAAGCCAAAGGAGACCACCATTTTTGAGACATTCCCCAAGCTTGACGCGTCTCAGCAGGCTCGGCCCCCCAGCAGCACTCGGGGCATTCTCTCGCTTGCCTGGGACGACTGGCTGCGCGGCTCCCAAACACCAGGAGTCCCTCAAGGTTGCAAGAATGCTGGGTCGGGTGAATCAGGAACTGTGTCTTGACTGGAAATGGTGATCGTCATGAGGAACCCAGGAACCCAGGAGACGCAGCGCATGTGTTCCTTTTCTGTGCACCACTACCTCCTCGCGAGGGTCCCCGCATATTTCCTTTTGTTGACCTACCCCTTCTACATTCTCTCTCGCTGAGCGGGGGGGCTAATTGGAAGGGGCTGGGGGGAGGTTCTGAGAAATTACCCCCCAACCAGATTTCATTTCCGAAAAATGAAAGCTGAGAAATTCATGAGAATTGCAAGGGAATTGAAAATGGAACCTTGCGGGGGGGGGACGTTCGGGGGAGACCGCCTGCCTGAAAATTCTATTTATGGGGCGATTCTGTACCCCCTCCCACACCAATAAAATGCAATTCAAGGACGGGGAGGTGGTTCTACCTGCAACTGCTACAATTTGCACCTCCCCCTGCCTCTCTCCCATTCTTGAAAACCACAAGGGACAAGTCTAGAACAAAGCAACACAGGGCAAAGCAACACAAGGCAAACCAAGGCAAACGCTGCAACACCATTGGATGCCAACGGCAGGAAATACAGCAGGAAATACAATGCAGGAAATACACCTCCCCCCCAGATTGTCTAGCCAACGCACACGCTTCCACGCCTTTTAAATGGAAAGAAGGGGTGGAGGTGTTTCTATCTGTCGAATATGCTACCATCGGTATTTCCCTCCGGCTCTACCCTTCATGAAAGCAGCCAAGGAGAATCCTAGAAAAGGTCTACAAGAGCAATCAAAACGATGGCATCGCAAATGGAAAATGGAGGGGGGGGACCATGAAGGGACCCCCTCCAGGCGAAATTGGAAAAAGCACCTCCCCCAGGTCTTTCTTCCGATTTCCACTTAGGACCTCCTCAAAGTGGGATTCCACCCCCCCCCTCCCCAAGCTGGATAAATGAAAGGGACAAATTCCAAAACCTGCCTCACCCCCGCCCCCTCATATCCAAAACAGTTCAGCACAAAGTGAGCTTGCATGAATACGATGCTTGTAGGTATGCCCGCCGGTCAGTTGGCTTAGGTCACTGGCTTTGGCTCACATGGACGTGTGGATGGTTCGGGATGGTCTGATTGGCGATCCTACAGGTGTCCAGAACCTCGCCAACTCATCAGGCTTCCCCTGCGGATGTTCCCTATGTTCCTCCGGGCAACGTTGAAAACAAAACCAAGAAAAACACGGAATTGACATTGACACGAGAAACAGGAAATTTAAAAATACATGTTTTTAATCGATTGGAATTAAGTCAGCGGCAGCACATTTACAACCTTCAGCAAACATGTGACGGCAATAATCAATATTGATTATTGCTATTCTAGTATAGTGTTGCAACCTAGCAATAGCGGTATTTATACCTCTATTGCACATGTAATACACACGTAGGTAGCCGATTCTCTGCCATGATGCACACGTCCAGGTGCAGGATGGAGAACGTGGAGTGATCGGCCTTCCAACGCTTCATCAGCTTTGCACGCCTGCGCGGCCGAGAATTGGATGGCTAAGCTATGTTGTATGCCCCCCAACATAGGAATCAGGTTTCATGAGGCTACCGTCCGTCATTTCTGCTACAACAAATGATTGAGGTGGATATTGACTGTGGCACACGTGGAGATTGGTTCTGCCAGCCACTTGCTGTGCTTCTCTGTCTTTCTGCCTTAGTACACTGTGTACACCCCCTGTCAGGTGTGTGCGAATCAGTGTGAGTGCTCGCACCTCGATGCAGCGTTCCTTTGCCGTGTCAAGAAGAGAGTGCGAGATGCAGCAAGCTGCAGGAGTCTTCCCGAAATGAGAAACTGCTTGCCCAATGCAAAAAACATGAGGGGCCCATTGAAACCGCCGGCTTTCGCAGCCCTGGGCGTCCCGAACAACGAGGGGCATTTGTGAAACGGGACTCCTGAAGGGGTGAGTACTCCCCTGATAAAAACGTGGATCCATTTCTTCCATGGTCATCTCTCTCCACTAAAGGGGCCCCACAGAAAGAGCTTCGGCTACAAAACAGAGTTTGTTCGGATTCCCATGTTGGTTCTCAGAAGGGCAGTTGATGCCAGAAAAGACCCCGCATGTAACCTCTTCGCCATTCTGACATCCCTAAACAGTAGGAAGACACACCTGAAGATCAGAACAAAACGAGGAACCTGGAAGGAATCTATGACTCGCCACCATTTGTTGAGCATTTCCAAACAAACGCAGCACGCAACAAAAAAACAAGCTGACACATACCTTGAGGCAGAGTAGAGAACGCCCATCTGTCTCTGTCACAATTGTCCATCACCTTATTCCGAGCTGCGAAAGCTGATATGCAATCTTTGTTTCAGCATGTGCGAAGAGCGTGCCTTGCTCTGATTTCGTAGCCTCTCAATTCAGCAGTGTGTGCTTGGGAGGCACCTGCCCTTGGCAGCACTGAAACCAGCAGCTTCACCAACAAGAAATTGACGCAAGGACAGCGTCAACAGCGCACTCAAACCACACCCAGCTGCGATCAAACAAGCAGCAGAATTCACACAATGGCCCTTGTCACGCATCATCACGAGAGACAGCTTCGAATAAGCGCCGGCTTTTGTTCTGGGGGCAAACAGTTTTGGGCCAGGACCTGCAGATGGGAACATGCAGGGCGGCTGCGAGAGCAAGATAGAGAAACGACAACACGATCGGCAACAAAAACACTGATACCTCATCCAAACCCAAGCAGTCCATGGCCTAATGCAAGTCCAAGAATGCACTCAATTCTCGACAAAGTACATGGTGGCACAACGTAATCAACACAAGTCTGAACAGAATCCCCAAAAAAGCCGTTCAGGTTGCATGTCACCGGCTCTTTGGCAAAGCTCCAACCATCCAGGCCCAAGCCCATGCCAGCCTCTCCATCACTTGTGCGGCCGCATCCTTGTCGTTCTCCTGCAGCGGGAGCAGCGGCAATGAGCGC